CGATCACCATCACCCCCAAAAAACACCCAGCCTGGGTTGGTGGATGAGGAAGTGGAGGAGTTAGTCCCCAGGAGTTTAAAATTTGGCCGAGGTTGAGAAACACTGGTCTAAGGATTGCTTCAGTGGTAGAGGGGTACGCATTCATAGGGGAGAAACTCCCTGCATCTTGAAAGCTGTGCTGATGCAGGTGAATCTTAAACTGCTATGCTTTTTATATCATTGTAGCTCTAGAGTTCTTTCCAGTAACAGCCATCTGGAGAAAGACAGTCAGTCTGGGATTTGTAGAATGATAGCATTTGACTTTCAGGCCCTGCCATTAAAGCCCTGTTCCTCTGCGAAAATCAGGGTGTGAGGAATATGAAGGCTTTTGCATCCAATATTTAACTGTGAGCCACCCCATGGGGATATTGCAAGAAATGCAATGAGAAGATTGGAAGCATGCCTGCTGTTGTGGAGAAGAAGGGTAGTATCACCATAATAAAAATAATGTAATTAATTGATTTTATGCAAAATTGTCTTTCCAGGAAGCCTTGTTTCACCTTGTTCTTTTTACTGTGCTGTGGCATCACCCTTCATGCAGGTAAATTGAGGCAAAGGCTGTTCCACAGTAAGTGGGGCTATTAGGACTGCCCTAGACAACTCAACCCCTTCTGTTTTTCCCCCTCTGGATCTTATTTCAGAGATTGCTCAGCCGTACACTTCTTCCTATTCTGGGGAGTACGGGAAGGCAGGAGGACAGCGCTTCTCTCATTCTGGAAACCAACTAGAAGGACCCATAACTGCCATAAGGATCCGGGTTAGCAGTTGGTACATTGTGGGGTAAGTACCTGAATGAATGGGAGGGCTGTGGTTCAGAATCCTGTATTTTGGGGAAGAAAAACCTGCTTGGGTTTATGGAAATTAAAAGAACCTGTGTCAATGCAATTTTCTGAGGTATAGGAATGCCCGAAAGCAGATCAGATTTACATCAGTCCATAAAGTGTGTATGTAGGGATATCCCAAGGAAGGGGTCAAAAAGCTTAAGATGGCAGTAATGACCATGTGATCCAAGGGCCACCCCTTTTTATGTGTGCCGCCTATATGCCACATATAGAAAGAGACAGGGTTTCAATTACATGGTTGCGTACAGGGTTCCTCAACCTTGGCAACTTTAAGACGGGTGGACTTCACCCCCAAATTTTTGGGGTGTAGTGCACCCCCCTTTAAATTGGCCAAGGTTTGGGACACACCCGCACAGGGGATATAAAAAAAAAAATGGTA